GTTTTTTTTGTATATATTTTTCTATATCTAGATATATATATATATATATATATATATATATATATATATTTCCTCCTATATTTCTCACCCTCTGCCATTTCCCATCCTTTTCCCACCCTGTCTCTGGTTTCTGCAGTTGCTTTCCATTCCTGTATTCTTTCCCACATTGTATTGATTCACAAAATATCTTAATTAATCTAAATACTTTCAATAGTAATTTCAGCTGATATATACATATCTGTGAACAAAAGTTGACTTTAGGCATGAGATTCTATGGATAGAATGAACATACTATAAAATAGCACATAGCTGAGGCTATATACCTTACTGTGGTTACCAAATAGGTATTTTTTAAAATATACTTTTTAATTTTAAGAAAGGCAGTTTTCGCTTTAATAAATTAAAATAAAAATATTAAGAGAACTTTGCTTAATACTTAAAGCCAGGAAACAGGTTAGGATTCTGTTTGAATAGTAGGTACATAGACCTGTCCACAACTTAAGAAAAGACAAAATTCCTTAACACTGGAAAACAAAGATTAGAAGGTCAGTAATATTTTAGCCAAAAGTCATACAATTCTATTCCACCAGTTCAAGCTTATGTACTTTATCATCTGCTGTGGTCTGATCTCTCTGTTTAAATTTGGAAGATAACATTCAACTCTGCACTTGTCCCTACCATTAAGGTGGTTATTTTCTTAGCTATTTTAGAATTCTTATTTCTGTGTGTCTGACTTTAGTTTTCCTGGGATAGCACTCCCTTCAGAACGTCTTGGAGAGCTGGTCTGGTGTTGGTAAATTCTTTCAGATTTTGTTTATCTGAGAATGTTCTTGTCTTCTCTTCCCATATGAAGGATAATCTTGCTGGGTATAACATTCTTGGTTGAAATTGTTTTTCAACCAAAACTTTTAATATTTTTTTCTATTCTTTCCTTGCACACATTGTTTCTGATGAGAGGTCAGCTGTTAGCCTGATGGGATATCCTTTGTAGGTAACATGATGTTTCTCTCTTGCCAGTTTGAGTATCTTGTCTTTGTCTGTGGTTTTGGTCAATCTGGCTATAATGTGTCTTGAAGAAGATCTTCTTGGGTTGATCTTATTTGGGGTCCTTTGTATTTCTTGGGTCTGGATCCTTGAATCCCTCTCTAGCTTTGGGAAGTTTCTTCCAGGATTTCATGGAATACATTATCAATGCGCTTATTAGTCTCTTCACCTTCTAGGATACCGATTATTGGATGTTTGGACATTTAACAGTATCTAGTATTTCTCATGTATTATTCTCATTTTGGGGGCTATTTTCTCAGTCTTAATGGTGGATTTTATTAGTCCAGTGATCCTGTCTTCTACATCTAAGATTCAATTTTTGTATGATCAAGTCTGCTTTTAATACTTTCTTCTTCTTTTTTTTTTTTTTTTTTTTTTGAGAGGTTTTTGCTATAGGGCATGTGCACTCACCAGATAGACAGAGAGAGACATAGAGACAGAAAGTGAGAAATCACCCCCCGGGGGGATGGTCATGCCACAATCCCTTCTCCTCCATTCTCCTCTCGGGATCTTGGGCACGCACACACACGCGCCCAGCGTGAGTTTTAAGCCACTGGGTCCGGGACACAAACCGCAGTCGACTACATGGGAGTCCAGTGACATAGCCATTACACTAACTGCTAGTTCCCTGCTTTTAATACTTTCAAAGGAGGTTTTGACTTCCTTATTATAACTTTCATCTCCAACAGTTCCATTTGACTCTTTTTCATGGTGTGTATTTCCTCTTTCAGCTCTCATAAGAATTTCCTCACCTCCTGGGACTCATGGGCTTTTTTTCTTCTGGTGTTCATTGTCCCTGTTCTCTTCCATCTCTGTTAGCTTTTGTCATTATGAATACTCTAAATTCTCGGGACCGGCAGTTAGAGTAATGGCTATGTTGCTGAACTCCCATGTAGCCGACCATGGTTCAAGTCCTGGACCCAGTGGCTTAAACTCACGCCAGGCTCATGTGCGTGCGTGCCCAA